GGATAGTTTCCAGCCTCAGCAAATTTACTGATAGTACCAAACCAGGAGGAGTGGCTGACACACCAGAAGGCTGTGCCATTTAATGAGAGCTCAACAGGCTGCAAAGCTGGGTGAAGAGGAACCTGACGAGGTTCAACAAGGGCAAGTGCAGAATCCTACACCTGGGGAAGAATAACCACACACATCAGTCCAAGTTAGGGGCTGGAGAGGAGCTTTGCAGAGAAAGACCTGTGTGTTCTGGTGGACAACAGGTGGGTCATGAGCCAGCAGTGTGCCCTTGTGACCAAGGAGACCAACGGTATCCTGAGGCTGAGAGTTCTGAGGCTGTTCAGCCTGAAGACGACTGAGAAGGAATCTTATCAATGCTTATCAGTATCTGAAGAGCAGGAAAGAAGATAGGGCCAGGCTCATTTCAGAGGTGCCCAGCAAAAGGACAAGGGGCAACATGAACAAACTGGAATACAGAAAAGACTCCATTACCTTGAGGCTGATTGTCCTGGTTTCAGCTGAGACAGTGTGCAAAGCTCTCCAATGTTGTGGGAGCACAGGCAGGACCACTCAGCAGGCCAGAGCCACTGCATCTATGGGGCAGCAGCAAGGGAGTGGCAGAGCCAGGACAGCTGCCCTGAATTACACGAGAGATTATTGCATACCAAGTGACATCATAGAGAAAGTCATAAAGCCGCTGGGAGTTGGCTGGGGGCTGGCTGTTGATCTGGAGGTGGTGAGTACTTTCATTTTGGATATATAATGTACATCGTTATTGCTACTTTTTTTGTTTCCATTTTCCTTTTTTGTCATAGTTGATATTTTTTATCTGAATCTACAAGTCCTATGTTGTTTCCAGTTCTTCCCCTCACTCCACAATGGCTGTGTGGTGCTGAGCTGCTGCTGGGTTAAGTGATGGAACATTTGAACAGGCTGCCCAGAGAGTCTGTGGAGTCTCCTCTGGAGATATTCAAGCCCCATCTCGATGCCTACCTGTACAACCTGCTCTAGGGAACCTGCTTTAGAAGGGGGTTAGAAAAGATGATCTCCAGAGGGCATTTCCAACCGCTACAATTCTACAATGAATAATACTCAGAAATCCAAATAAAATACATGACAACGTGTTATTAAAATTGAATTTCCTTGCTTGAAAATTACAACCAATGGGCTAATTAGCTTATATCTTTCTAATAAAGAGTGACAAATGAAGCCAGGAAGAAATCTGCAAGCACTGCTATTCAGGAGGGAATCTCTAGGAGCAACTTTCTTAATCAGAGTACTGTGGGAGGGCCTGAGTTATGCTCATGAAGGATTCAAGCTTTTTGACTTTCAGCATCTGACTTATGAGTCAGAGTTAAGAGTACAACCTCTTAGTACAACCCACAGAGAATCCAGACCTCTGCTTTTAATCTACTGAGGTTACTGCAGGTGCATCATAGGGCCACCTGCAGGAGAAAAACTCCATTTAAAGCTCTCCCCACCAGCCATCACTCCTTTCTTGTTTTGTTTTGTTTTTTTTCCAGTGGATTGGAGAAGCGTTATATGGGATTTCAAGTCCAAAGCTCACTTTCGTTTCACACGCCCAATGGCTCTGAAAATAGTTGATTTTTGCTACACACTCTTGTTTCCATGTTTACACTGCACAGGGAAATCATCTCTGAGTGTCCAAGGCAGCAGACTGTACTCCTGCCTGAATCCCAGCAGATCTGAGCAGCAACAGCATGTTTGTTCCCTTTCACTGGCTGAAGACCAAGAGGAAGAAGAACATCTTAAGGAGGGAGTCCCACTGCCTCACCGCAGTCAGAACAGCCTTCAAACACCGATGCCTGCCTTTCTACCTCACATTTTGCCTTGGGGTCTATGAGGATCCAGCTGTGTTTAGAAAAGAAGGGCTTTCTCACGTCTTGTCAAACTCCCTCAGCACCTCTCTTCATTTTCAGTTGGCAAACACGGCCCCTAACGCAGAACAAGGCCTGTCCTGTGATCCCATAGGCTCCCGTTAGCCAGCTGCCTGCCCGCCAGCAGATGTGTTGGCACGATCTGTGCAGCACTCTTCATATGCAACTGATGCCCCAGTTTAGAACTCAGCATCTCCTGAACAATCTCCACTCCCCCCTCTCCCCCGAGGTTTTGCTGTTCACATTTCACTTTCTAAACACCTCTCTAGGCCTCAATCCCGGGTCAACTTCAGAAACTAATTAGAAACGGCGAGGCCTCTCAGTCCTCCCACAAGTGAATTTCAGTCATCCTCTGTTTACTTTAATAATTTTTTTTTTTTTGCTAGATTAACGGAACGTCTGTTCATGTTTTGATCCATTACTTGGAAAATTAAGCAATTAAAACGGACAACATCTGTGGACAGCGATCTATCAAACAGTTTCAGGAACTGAAGTGTAAATTGAAGCCAACACCAAGAGCTGGAGGCTTAATGTATCCGCAGTGGGGAGCAAGGGGGAAGTAAAAGAGAGAGAAAGAGAACAGTCTTCACAGAACCCAAACCTTCTGGCAAGTAGGAATGGGAAGATATTTATAGGTGTGATGAAGAAAAAGAAGAAACTATTACAGCAGCTTTAGAAAAGGGATAAATTCAGAAGACTAATTGTATTGCAATCTCTGCAGAACAATGTACTCATTTAAGAAATGCAGCATTACAGCAACAGAATGCTGATTTGGCTTTAGTGTGTCACTGAATTTAAGCTATGTGACACAAATGCTGAGGTATTTGGCATTTTAAAATGTTTTAGGAACAAATGCAACATTACTCATGAACAAAGTCACCTCTTAAAACCAAACGTGATTTTGCATCACCTTTAGTAAGCAACTAGGTTGTAGACTGTTGACAACTGTTTGGTTTTTTTTTAAGAATAAGCTTTATTTTCTCTCTGCAAAATTAAGAGGAAATTACTGGTTCTCATGGATCTTAATAAGAATTATATCAATATTTGATTTTTTTGTATTAATAAGTCCCTCTCAAAAGCAACAGAAGAACCAGTATACTGAGCTGTAATTTTAAGAGACAGCAAAGCAGTTAAAAGTATCAATACTAAGTATATATGGTAATAAATAACCTGGTTTGGGTGGTAAATATTTAAAGGTTTATCAGGAGATTGCTGAACAATCATCCCACTATCAAAACCCAAATCAATGCTGAGGAAAAACAACGTTACTCTCCAACTTTGGTAAACCCTACTGTAATGTGGGTCAGTGCAGCCTGTCTGCTCAAGAAGTGAGATGACAAGGAGATACAAAACCTCAATGCATTCTCTGTGTTGAATCACTGTTCTGGCACTCTCAGAAGCAGTACATCAGGTTGTGCTGTTATAGACTGTTTTTTTCATGGCACCTAGAGCCAGCTGCTGTGCCGAGAGGCACTCACAAGACAGTAAACAGTCCTGCAGAAGGAAAACAAGGACAACTTTCTGCATTTTCACCTTCACAGCCTCAGTTCTGCTCCTGTAACGTTCCCTGTACAAAAGAAAGGGGAGCTTTGGCACTCTTGCATAATAACAGAGTTAAAATACAACAAACAGGAAAGCATCTAGTGGAGTACAGCTTAATTTTTATTGAAAGGGGAAAATCTAAAGGTACAGAATGGTCTGGATGCTTAACTCAATGTGCAAAATCAGAATATCAGACCAATCTTTCCTCGCTCTGGATGGAGCTGAGTTTTGGTTGTTATTTCCACTCTGAAGGACTCTGCAAGGCAGACATACTATTTACACTACTTTTGTAAAAACTGTTTACAAATTTGAGAGCTTCACACCAACTTGATTTGGACAGAAATTTCTACCCGTTCTTATTTTATGTATTTTTTTTTTCCCCCATGTCTGACAGATGCTTGATTCAAGCTAAAATTTGTAACGCCTTACTTTGGATTCTGAAAGTGACTACAGATATTCATTCTGTATGCATCTACTAACTCACTAAGGTATCATGACTGAACACAAGGAAATGCAAGTATGCGTGGTCAGGACAAGTGCAGAACTCCTGCTGATAAACCAATCTCTCTTGTATCCTGGTATGTTGCATTTACTTTCTTGTCTTGCTCACTCAATGCACACATCTTCAAAAGAAAATACAGGTAGTGTCTTTCACTGCATCCCTTCTTAGCACAGCTGCTAGTCCTTTCTTGCTATATTGCAAACAGTACCTTACATATAACTCCTTACTCTCAGTGCCACTGCGCACAGAGTGTAGAAAATAACTGAAAGATTGTTAAGTACAAAACATGAATGGCAATGCATTTATGAAAGCATCTCAAGAAACAACAGAACAAGGGTGAACAATAATCTTGTTAATACTGAAGAACTCCCCTTCCAGCACCTGAGGAACGTGTTGAAGCTAAAACTGCCAGTGGAAGACCCTCCATGCCAACAGGAAGGTGGCACTCAGCCTAGCTGAGTGCATCACAAACTCCATCCTATAAGAAAAACAGACACGTTTCCAAAACAAGAAAAAAAAATGAATAGTAATATATGACATATGGAGACTGAAGAAAGCAAGATGCTGAAGAAAAGCACTGTCCTGTAACAATTAATGACTTACAAGGAGAACAAAAGGTCATTGCTGTCAGTCCAGAAGAACCCAGGGCCGTGGCACGGACCTGACCACAAGCATCCCTTCCTCTCTGCATCACACACAAGCTGGAGCTGCATCACACAGGAGGACCAGCTGGGCATGCTTGTGAGCACTTATAAACTATATTGGTGAGAAAATGAACAAGAATGGGGAAAATCAATTTGTTTAGAAATTCTGTAAAAATAAAATCACTTTCCTTAAGTTCCCACAGTTAGCTTTGTCACGATGGCTTTCTGAAAGAACCATCAGATTCTATTTTGTATAAAGTGCAAGAAAGTGACATTTTCTCAGTACCTCGAGGCTTGCAAGCAACTGATAAACATTTACTTTTACAGTAAGAAGTCTGGTGTGTATTATATATTTACTTTAATAATATTTATATATTTACTTTAATTGGTCTGATTTTAGCCTTGTTAAATTTTGTCTAATTTTTATATCTTGGACTTTTATTTGTTGCAGAGTTTCTCATAAAAATCTGCAAACGAATTACAAACTGCGGTTAATGAGGTATGCATAAACCTTCTTTTTTTCTTTTATCATTCCTACCATCTGCTTTGGTTGTTTTATTATCAGCTCTAAGCTAATAATCTACCTACTTTATTTCCCATCTCACTTGGAAAAAAAATAAAAACTGATGCAGAAATCCAGAAGAGTTTTTAAACTGTTGTGTTTTTTTTTTTCCCCCTGAGTTTTCCCTGTGTACCTTATGATCCAATCTGTGCTCTGCTATCTCTATCTCCATTATAGAATAATAATTCCCAATTAAAAAAATAATAATAATAAAATAATTAAAAAAAACAGCACTAAATCCCACATGAAAAAGGCAGTGCAGCAACTGCAAGATTGCAATCAACATATTTTATCCTGATTCCCCGTTGTTATTAACCAAGAATACTTTTTTCCCCACTATTCCTATCACATTCTTTATTTAATACTCATTTGATTCAGAAACCTGGCTACAGATTTCTAGATAAAAATCAGCATGCACCGCATCAGCAGGTGGATACCAGCAGACACAATGATAAATTTAGCCTATCCAAAATAGAATGGGAAATTTACCTCATTAGAATAAATAATCAAGGTCTTCAGAGTTAAGCCTAGCTCTCATTATATTTTAATCTCAAAGCCACCCAAATAACAAGGCCGTTCATTTCGAGGACTCTAGTTCTCAAACTGTCCTTAAATGTTTTTATGTTTATGTACCATAGCTCAAAAAATAAAATATGTTCATAATTAAAATACAGAAAAAAATGTGTGTGAGATCTCAGAGATCTCCTCAGTTTGGGCTATTAATTTTGCAATCTGAAGAGCACATAGCAAAATGTACAGATTGCTCAAATAGTACAATGGGAACAGCAGTGTAAGTAACCTGGTACGGACACGTCAGCTGAGTAAAACTGCCCCTGAAAAACCCCATCACACCCACAGTGAGTCTAACTGCCATCTATCTCATCTGTGTATGCCAAAGGGAAACTGAGTATTTCATGCCTTCATTTCAACTTAGAAACCTGAAGATTGTAAGTAGATTCTAAACAAAGAGATAACAAGGGAAAATGAGACTGGTACCTGTTGTTAGAACAGATAAAAGCCAAGAAGATAAAAGCAACTTCCCAATATCTGCAAAAGATCCCACCTGTTTCTGAAATTACCTTGTAACAAACCAACACTCAGATTCTTTTTTAATTCTTAATAGACAAAGCCTGGCTGATTTGGAAAAGCTGCCCTAAAAAAAACACAGAAAGGAAATATTTCTGTATCCAGTTCTAGACAGCTGAAGAACAAACGAACCAACTCCAAATCAACAGGTAAATTAGCTTTACAGATGGCAACTGTAAGAGCCTAAACAACCCTAATTTTCATAGTATTAAAAAATTCTTTATTTAAAATACATTCTTTTTATTCTCTAGTTCAGTGTAAACACTGATTCTAATTTTTATCTGTATGTCCATGAATTACAGTCATGTAAAATACTCATCTTCCTCATTTATAGTTCTAAGTAAAAAGGTCCACATTCCTAATTATTATGTTCTTGTTATTACTATTGCTGCTTATAAATTGTAATTTATGAAATGTTTCCTATCTTTTCTGCTGCCCTTTCTGCTCCATTTCTCTCCACTGCACTGGAAGAATGGTATAAACAGGATGAAAAATGCATATATGCCAAACCCAATTATGAACTAACTTTACAGAAGGGTGCAAGCTTTTCTCAGCCAGAGAAATCATCTGAGATTTCTTGTAACCTTGTAAATCTGTTTGTTTTGTATTATTTTGTTGGTTTTTTTTTTTTGTTTGTTTGTTTTCCTGTTTTTCAAGGCTAAGAAGAACAGGTGTCCATATGATCCATTCTGTTCTAGCTCTGATCCACAGGATTGTGAAATATATAGTCATGTTAGAATGCAAGAGAGCCCTAGGTCGGTATTTCTCAACTGCACTGAAGAAGTGCTTTCACTTAAACTGGAAAGAAAGGATTAATGCATACCAGTGTGACCATTTCTAAGTTAACACGACTACTTCAAATTGCCCCGACAGTACTGGGAGTCTGCTAAAACCTGGGAAAACATTCAATCTTCAAAATGAGTCAAATATTTCTTTGGGACAGGGGAATTCTACTGAATTAAAATAAATGAAATATCTTTATTGCAGTAATCACCTTGGATAACGTTAATCTTTCAGAGAACAAGGTTCAAGAACAGTAATAATTGAACCAGAATCTATACCTTAAAATCAATCAGGTGATAAAGACATAGTTTTTATGTCTTATTTATGTGTGTAAAAGGATTATTTGACCACTGTTCCCTTCAAGTCTGATATTTGATTCAAAAGAATTGTTTCTTCTCTTACGGAACTGAGCTAAAGAGTATTTGTTGCTCTTTATGATGGGAAAATTGACTTGAACAGAAGTAGGAAAAGCCAGCATCGAGAACTAGGCTGTATTCACTGTGAATTTGTGAAAAAAGTACTGCAAAGAGAAAAGTAAACAGTTAAACACTTGTCTGAAAGACTTATCTGGATCACTGCCAATTCTGTACAATAAGCTCTATCAGGACTTCAAATTTGAGCAAGGATCATCTGAGTAAAAATTTTCAAATGCAAGCTCATGTGAACATGGTGTGATGTTGAAAATTGATACTGATCAGAGGAAGAAAACAACAAGGCTTGGGAAAGACAGGGATCTCCTAGAAGGAGTCCAGCAGGGAGCCACAAAGACAATGAAGGGCCTGGAGCATCTTCTCCATGAGGAAAGGCTGAGTAACCTGGGTCTGTTCAGCCTGGGAAAGCGAAGACTGAGGGGAGATCAGATGAATGTTTATAAATATCTAAAGGGAGGTGGGAGGCAAATGGGTCAAGCCAGGCTCTTCTCAGTGCTGTGCAGTGATAGGACAAGGAGTAATGGCCTAAAACTTCAACATAGGAAGTTCTGTACTAACACACGGAAAAACTTTCTTACAGTAAGGATGATGGAGCACTGGAACAGGCTGCCAAGAGAGGTTGTGGAGTCTCTTTTTATGGAGATATTCAAGACCCATCTGGACGCCTAATGGTGTAACTTATTATAGGGAACCTGCTTTAGCAGGGGGTTGGAGTCCCTTCCAGCCACTGTGATTCTGTGACTGATGTCTGCCTAAGGCATGCTACATATGAAAGGTGGCTGGTAAACCCCTGTTATGATCCTGTGCATTTATATGCCTTAACCAGCTTTGCTTTCTTACCTTTTTTGTGCTCTGATATACATTACAGTACATCAATAACTAAGCAGTATGCGAAGAAGACTGTCCATTTCCCATGGTTTCTAATTTGCCATTTTGTGTTTCAGAAAGAAAGCCCACCTGAAGGAATTGTGTTCATTTTTAAATGTATTCTTAATATGATCCTGTGATAAATAGAAGTTGGTGATCCCAGGAATAGAAGCTAGAAACCTGAAGAAACATATATGTACCCGATTTAGGCCACTCTGAAGTCCACAGAAAGACTGTGGACAACATTCATCTCTTCTAAGTGCAGTGATTTAAAAGTTGTCTGGCCTAAGGTGCTCACAGAGGCCTCCACAATCAAATACAATTCTGCCTCAGATTGTGATCTGTTGCATTTTGCATGCGCCAATCTCGCTCACTGCTGATTATGAAGAGGACCCAGATGAGTGCTTTAGGTCAGGCATCCAACTTGTAAGACCTCTGTAGTCAGGCAAGATCCACTGCTATTGACTAAAATGGAATGGGATTCAATCAGAAAGTGAAGCCACACAGAAATCTGTGGCAAGAAAGAGCCTTGATTTTTGAATCTCCACCTTAGCCAATAGAGGACATCACTCTTTGCCACAGATGAGCTTTCATTTGACAGAGTCCTAAAGCAGCATCGCCCAGTCAAGGAAACAACAAATCCAAAATACATCTATTACCAAAAAAAAAAAAAAAAAAGAGCAACTAATACACACATTAACTGTATTTTTCCTGTTAAAGTCATTAACTTCTACTACTTCTTTTTCCTGCTTAATCTACATTTCTAACATGTCAAGCAAAGGGTGCACAGTTTGTAAGCAAGGTCCATCAGGCTTTCTCCTGGCAGCTGTTAGGACACCTAGATAGGGCACTCACTCAAATTTATAAAGTAAATGCTCTTCGTTCACTTCAAAATGATAAAATACTAAGAAGCTCAAGAGAGGACTAAAAAGAATGTTTAAATAAATATATAGCACAGCACTGCAGGCACCAGCTGTGACAGAACCTACCTGTGTAAAGGATATACTTTTCTGTCCTTACCTCTCTCTTGTCCATTTGCTAAGGTCTGCTTTACAGTGAAATATCTCAAGAACAAAGCTGTCACTTGTGTGATCCCATTCCACACCAGTTTTTCCTTGTTCCCAGCTACAATTCTGTTCTACAGTTCCCATTAGTTCGTTTAACTTGCTTCCATTCAGATCAGCTTAAACCACAGCTGTGTCAATAAAGCCTTGGAAGCAGTTCAGAAGCTGTCTTCCTGCCATACCATTATTGGTAGTCATTGACAGTTTCAAAACTTCTCCCTTTTCTGGATAAATGCCTACATATATTAGAGAATTAGTGAATATTAGTTCAGATGAGGTTGTGGTTTGAAGAGAGGACCCTAACTGCCCAATTTCAGTTTACATGAGAGTGAGGTCCAGTAATGCATGGACTGAATGCATTTTGGAGGCATGCTAGATGAAGGGAAACATCTCCCAAACTGGAAACACTTCCCAAACTAGCTAACAATTCTTACCTCTTCAACTTGGCTCCAGCTGCACCTCATCACCTGTTCATACCTCTGAGTTAATTCTCTTACTTCTTACTAATACTATTTACCATGAAGCTCAGTCTCCACAGCCAAACTAGGAGCAGCCAAAAAAACAGCAAGTACCTACATCCCTAAAGGTACTACAGGTACCACCATCCAAACAGCTAGGTTTAAAGGAGTGACCAATTCTCAAAGTAAAACAAGGTAAACTGAGTGAGGCCTTGGCCAAGTATAAAGTGACAACTAAGAAAATTCATAATTTTAAAATATACTTCCTTTAAAATATACTTCTTTTAGTATTCATCCACTTTAAAATATTAAATGCATTAAAAAAATTCCCCACCAGCAACAAAAATATTAAATGGGATAGAAGCCATAGTGACCACGTGAAGCTTATCTTTAACCTCTCTGGTCCTGATTCACAGAATTACATTTGTGTTAAATGAATGCCCTTTGATTCAGAAATACCACCATTCCCATAACAGAAAAAGTAATCAGCTGTGTATTTTCTCTTTAATTAACGAGAGATTTGAAAATGTGCAAAGTATTCATTTCAATTTTCCTTGAGCTATTAAAGCAGTTGTATAAATATATCACATAACGAACACTGCAGTACAGATCGAGTCCTTACAGCTCGACTATGAACGGTGCTGTGAGGTACCAAACATTGATATGTTTGCATATAAAGAAAGGCAAATTAAAAAAACCCAACAGTTTATGACAGTTAATGAAAAAAACAGTATTTCCTTCTACCATTACTGTAGCACATGCCTCATGGTACCTGGTAATGCTGGTTCAATTCATATCAACCTCAACACAGCCTTGAAGACCCTATGCAGACTCGAGTTGAGATGATTATAGAAGCCTATACTACATTTACATCTGAATTACTCATCTATAGACAATTCCAAAATCGCAATAGGCCCGAGAAGCATAGATGTGGGCTGCTCCAAAAGTAATGCCTCCTGTTTTTTAATGTTTTGGCCCACAACCAATCCATCAGAAGTGGATGCTGGCCATATGGCAGTTGAAATTGAACCTTCCCATCAACATTCCATTACATTTTGTTGCTATGTGACAGATGACAGCAGAGGGGCAGTCTGACATGGAAATGAGGATGAAACAAAGGAGTGCCAGTGAATTCCTCCATTTGGGAAAAATGGCATCCACTGACATCACATCTTGCTGAAAGTTTATTGAGACCAATCAATGGCTATCAGCACAGCGAGGTGGAGGGTGGTGTGTTTCAGCAGCAGCAACAGGGTCACGACAGGCAAGCCACGTTCCAGATGGCCACCCACTGCTGTCATACATTGAAATGAACAACTTCTCGATCAGCTCATCCATGCTAATTGCATAATGGTATAGACTAGACAATCTTTGAGGTCCCAACCACCCCATGGTTCTATGACTATGTTGAAAAATAGTGTTTTGTAGCTGAGAATTTGCTCTCTCAAATAAAGATACTGTGCTTTTTCTCTTTTAGAAATAAATACGAAGCGTCAATTTTGAAGCCACCTACATATTTTCCATCCATTAACTATAATGGAACTGCAGATTATCAACTCTTCTATAAATATTTAGACTTGGGTAAGAAGTGCCTAACAAAATGGTGATTCCTTTTTTTTTTTTTTCCTGAATTGTTAACAATTTTCCTCCCACCACAGATAAGCCGCCAGTGGTGTCATTCTGACACAACTGTTTATGAGATTAGAAATCCTGCACTATTCAGGTAAATTTTTGCAAGGAGATAAGTTGTACCATCAGGTAAGTTACAGCAATTCATCTATCTGCTGCTCAGCAATCCAGACTGTGATTGTTTCTCAAACAAGTTACCTGCTACCTCTGTGATCAAATGATTCTGAGCGGACACTCGTATCACAGAAGATCAGTTTCATCAATGCAATCTATGCTATTCCTTGAAATATTGCTTCTCCTAAATGCAGATCCTTTAAGTACTTTGGGTGATTACAAAAACTGGAATTTC